GGAGAATAGATAAGTAGTTACTAGACTGTATCTGGCGTTATCTTCTAATAGATCAAGCTTAAAAATGGAGTTAAAATTGCGACATGATTTGATTTGTCGTCATTAAAAAATTTAATGTTTAGTTTGGCCATGAATTCATTGATAACTTCGATGTTGAGCTCTTTTTTAATGGTCTTATTGCTGATGGCATTAGGAGAACCAGGGCATCCATCTGATGATCTTTGCTTCGGTGTTTGAAAGTTTCTTCTGAACCAAGTTAGCATGTCTTATGCAGAAGTGAATTAATGTTTAATAATTGTAGTGGTAGTGGCATCAAATTGTAAAAGTTAACGTTAGATATTTGCAGGGCGTTCTCTGTTTGCGGTGCAGTATGCTCCTTTGCAACAAACGATGGGGTTAAAGTGGTGAGTCAGAACGGCTGCGATCTTTACAGAAGTAAGTTCTTCTTCGAAATATAGCAACAGTTTAATTTTTGTTCTCTTCTGTAATGAAATTTGTGTTCTCATTTTTCTTCTCTCTGTCTACAGGATTTGACAACAACACTTTCTTGCAATCCAAAGAACTGATTGTGCAGAATATACGACGGGAAGTAGAAACGAGAGAACTGAAGTTGGTACTGACTGGATCAGGAGATGAATTTGTGAGTAAAAAGGAATTAAGCTCAAGTTTTAAAAAAGAATCCTAATAGCTGATTACAGGACCAGAGTGGCTTTAAAAGACGACATACTGCGGGAAAAACCACTGGTGTCAAATTTCTAAATTTGTAATTAAGTACAGTTGAACCCTCTACTAATGAACTGCGATATACTGAACACTCGCTTGAAGTGAATTTTTTTTTTTGTAGTCCCCTTTAAACTCTCATTGAACTAACTTTACTTTAAAGGCTGATAGGGACCGTTAAAAAAGTGGGAGCTCTTTTATAATGGACTATAGTTATAATTCGTTTAGTTTATGGAGGTAATATTTTTGTTATGGTTGAGAGTGGTTATAGTTTTGTTATGGTTTATAGTGGTTATAGTTTATAATTCATTTATAGTTTACTTCTGTGTAGTGTAGGCTCGGACGATAGACACGGACTCTTACATGCGCTAATTTGGGTAGTGAGACTATCGTGCTGAGGCCCCATGATGAGCACCCCAATCCTGCCGATTCTGTACAGCAGCACACCGCTTTTACAGCTGATGTGATGGTATGGGTTACCATCGCATACGACGCACGATCACCCCTAATATCGCTGTGGCATTCCAACTGTGCCACATCGCTTTGAAAAGCCAACGGTACGTTTGTGACATCCTCCAGACACATGGGTTGCCATTCATGACAGGACTTTCAGGAGTCATTTTTCAACAAGCAATGTTCGACCACACATAGTAAGAGAATCACAGGAATGCCTCCGCCACATTACAACCCTTTCCTGGCCTAATCTATCTCCAGATCTGTTACTGAACGAGAATATATGGGACTACTTGGAATGGCAAGTTACACAGCTTCCAAGTTTAATTTTTAAAATTAAGCCATTTTCATTCAAAATTGAACCACTTTAGACAGTTCTTCTTTAAAATAAAAGAACGATTTTGTCATATCAAAAACAAGTATAAAATCCTAAGCTTAAAATCTTCAAAAACTAGTTTATTAGTCCAATGGACCTGGTCTCTTCATTTTTAGATACGCTACTTTTGGATGACTTTAATTCCTCCTCCACTCTAATAGATCTTGATAATGATTCTTAAACGGTTGATACTACTTTCATTTTTCCGCATTTAAGAGTTACTTTTAATGCCATGAAAAAATTCACAAGAAATTGACGAGGACTCACAAGGATTATACAAAGATTTTACTTGGATGCATGAGCGTTAAAAAATGCGGAAATGCGCAAGGGCAATTAAGGACTGAGATTTACGAATACCCTGTATATTTATATTATGAAAATACATGAAGACAAGTGATTTTGGGGTTAATTATATTGCTCCTTACTTGAATGCACTAAAAAAATAATTTTAATATTCTGGTTCAGTTAAATTGATTTGAAAAATCGGTAACTAATTGATTATTTTTCAGATTCAACTGGAACCATTTTCCATAGAAGTGACTGAACCGGGTGAAGATGATCGTCTCATAAACCGAATCGGAAGTAAGTTTTTTCTGATCTAGTATACAAAATAGGATGTTCCATAATTATCCACTTGATGTCTAATATTAAAAGTATTGAAAAAAATGAGTAAAAACAACAATTTTTAAAACTAGAATAGATATGATATCAAAAATATGTATATGAAATTCAAAATATACACATTTCAGATGTCAGGAAATTATTAAATAATTTTTAAATTTATTGTATTAACAGAAAAATAATTCGAAAACAAAATATAAAATTTTAAATAAAAAAATTTTAAAGATAATTTATATGTTAAAAGAAAAAACAATACTAACGGCAAATTAAATAAGTAAAATGTGTATTTATATAAATAAAGCTGAAATTATTTAAGGTAGTAACCTTAATCTTAATGTACCTTAAATGAATCCAGTCTTTAAAACCGATCCACACCAAATTCGGTGTACACACATACGTTCGAAGACATGGTGAAATTGTATTTTTTTTAATCCCTTGCTAGCTTGTAGCTCTAATCAAACAATAATTAGATTTATCGCACGTTTTTATGAATTATTTATCTTTGGTTTCCCATGTTAAGCCGTTACGAGTAAAATAATTAATAATAATACGTTAATAATTTCGTGACGTATGGTAATGGCGCCACTGAATTCGTATTTTAAAAGGTATATCTTATATTGATACTTTCGCTTATAAAGAGTATTTATATAAACTTAAATATTGGAAACTCAACAAGAGCTTCAGTTATCTATCAAGCAATGGAAATATTGTGGTAAATTTTGAGTATCACAATTTAAATTATACTATATTTATGCATAGTTAATCTTTCTTTTGGAGAGAGTTGATCTCCAAACTCTTATTATTGTAAACCTAATAGTACGATGCCGCACCGGGATATTTATTTATTTTCCAAATGCCAGTTTATTGACTATCATGTCAATATGACTATGGGCTCTCCAATACTTCTTCACAGTACATATCAAGGCCCGCAAAGCAGGGCATTCGTCAGGGTGGGCTGCAGTCATGTTTTCTCCAGTATCACATAAATTACACTAAAGTAAGTCAATCATGTTAAAAAATTACACTAATATGAGTCAATCATGTTAAAAAATTACATTAAAATGAGTCAGTCATGTTAAGAAATTACATTAAAATGAGTCAGTCATGTTAAAAAATTACACTGAAGTGAGTCAATCATGTTAAAAAATTACACTGAAGTGAGTTAATCATGTTAAAAAAATTGCACTAAAGTGACTCAATCATGATAAAACGATGTAAATGGGCCCGAAGACAGTACATGATAAATACCGGAGAAAATTGCTGTCCCCGGTAATGTTTGACAACCACGAGTTAACCCAATGGCATAGCATTATGGCAAGAGATATTGAATAAGATTAAGCTTTACTTAGATGAGATGAACTTCTAAAACTCTGCTTAATTTAATAACATAAAGTAACTGGGAAGGGCAATAGTTATGGAAGAAATTAGAATTGTTTTATCTTAATTAATTGTGTTGGCACATGTTTTTTTAGTTTTGTGTATGAATTCATAGTAATGATTAATACCGATTTATTAGTAATGATTGAATAAATGATTGAATACCGATTTCATTATTGATCCCCCAGTACAGAGAAAGGGAAATTCATTTTGTTAAAAAATAAATCAAAATTCGCTTCTGGTAATATAAAGGCTAATAGTTTCACTAAAAAACAGCTTCTTTTTTAAAAAAATTCATTATCTGTAAAAATCTTTTATATATGCGACACTTTATATATATATTTTTTATTTAATTAACTGCAAAAGCATTTTAAAATGTTATAACCCTCACCCAAATTTTGTAGCGCAATATTTTCTTTTCCAGATAAACCCAATCCCAGAATGCGAGTGGTGAAAGCTGGTGCGAAATTGAAAGCAACTGCTGGAAAATCTGTGAAGAACCTCGGAAATTTGGGTTTTGATGAATGCCANTCCAATTATTTTATTTTTTTTTTTTTTTTTTAAATCCCTTGCTGGCTTGTAGCTCTAATTAATCAACAATTAGCTTTATCGCACGTTTTTATGTATTATTTATCTTTGGTTTCCCATGTTATGCCGTCACGAGTAAAATCAACGTTAATAATTTCGCAATGTATGGTGATGGCGCCACTGAATTCGTATTTTAAAAGGTATATCTTATACTGATACTTTCGCTTTTAATGAGTATTCCTATAAACTTAAATATTGGATACTCAACAAGAGCTTAAGTTATCTATCAAACAATGGAAAAATTGTGGTAAATTCTGAGTATCAGATTTTAAATTATACTATATTTATGCATAGTTAACCTTTCTTTTGGAGAGAGTTGATCTCCAAGCTCACATTATTGTAAATCTAATAGTGTGAAGCCGCACCGGGATATTTATTTTACAAATGCCAGTCTATTGGCTATCATGTCATTTGACTATGGGCTTTCCAATACTTTTTCACAGTACATATCAAGGCCCTCAAAGCAGGGCATTCGTCAGGATGGGCTGAAGTCATGTTTTGTCCAGTATCACATAAATTACACTAATGTGAGTCAATCATGTTAAAAAATTACACTAAAATGAGTCAATCATGTTAAAAATTGCACTAAAGTGAGTCAATCATGTTAAAAAAATTACACTGAAGTGAGTCAATCATATTAAAAAAATTACACTAAAGGGAGTCAATCATGTTAAAAAATTACACTAAAGGGAGTCAATCATGTTTAAAAATTACATTAAAGAGAGTCAATCATGTTAAAAAATTACACTAAAGGGAGTCAATCATGTTAAAAATTTACACTAAAGGGAGTCATTCATGTTAAAAATTTACACTAAAGGTAGTCAATCATGTTAAAAAAATTACACTAAAGGGTCATTCATGTTAAAAAATTACACTAAAGGGAGTCAATCATGTTAAAAAAAATTACACTGAAGGGAGTCAACCATGTTAAAAATTTACACTAAAGAGCCGAAATTTACACATGGGCCCGAAGACAGTACATGATAAATACCGGAGAAAATTGCTGTTTCCGGTAATGTTTGACAACCACGAGTTAACCCCATGGTATAGCATTATGGCAAGTGATATTGAATAAGATTAAGCTTTATTTAGATGGGATGAACTTCTAAGACTCTGCTTAATTTAATAACATAAAGTAACTGGGAAGGGCAATAGTTATGGAAGAAATTAGAATTGTTTTAGCTTAATTAATTGTGTTGGCACATGTTTTTTTAGTTTTGTGCATGAATTCATAGTAATGATTAATACCGATTTATTAGTAATGATTGAATAATGATTGAATACCGATTTCATTATTGATCCCCCAATACAGAGAACGGGAAATTCATTTAGTTAAAATATAAATCAAAATTCGCCTCTGGTAATACGAAGGCTAATAGTTTCACTTAAAAACAGCTTATTTTTTAAAAAATTTCATTATAGATATCTGTAAAAATATTTTATATATGCGACACTTTAAATATATTTTTTTAATTTAATTAACCGCAAAAACATTTTAAAATGTCATAACCCTCACCTAACCTCAAATTTTGTAGCGTAATATTTTCTTTTCCAGATAAACCCAATCCCAGAATGCGAGTGGTGAAAGCTGGTGCGAAATTGAAAGCAACTGCTGGAAAATCTGTGAAGAACCTCGGAAATTTGGGTTTTGATGAATGCCAAAGAGTGTGCCTGGACTTCAAAGATTGTGAGACCGCCTCTTATTGCGTGAATGGTGGAGAGTGCATTGTATCATCTGATTTCGGGGAAGACATCGCCAAAGACAATATGGAAGATAACAATTTATGCATCATTGTGACTCGTGAGTATTTCATCTCTTTTGGCGACGAGATAATATTTAAATATATTTAAAGTTCATAATACAAATTACTTTCTTCGAGTATAATCGTTTGTTAAAACCGTTAGTGTCTCACGATGAAGTTCTGAAACTTGTTGATGGATTTGATTCTTTTACTAAATTAATTACTCTATTTGGGTTGGCTTAAATCTATTTGCCTGAAACAATTATTTTACTTTGCCGATTTGAATAAGTTCATTTGTATTGGTTTGAAAAACAACTTGACTCAAATCATCTGATTTAAATGAGATACATTAAATGAAATTCATAAATTAGAATATTTGAATCTGTTGATCGAATGGACAATTTTTTGTTGCTTATTGAATCTTTTGAAAAAAATTGCTGTAAACTAAACTGAATCGCATGATTGTAATCACTTGGTTGATTTGTTTCGCTCAACTCGAGTTCTGTTATTATTTTAGAATGTGTAATAAAATGAGAACTTTTGTTATTTCTTCGCAGGAAGAATAAAAAGCTTCAAAATTTTAATTTTGCAAGGAGTAACTCAAAATTTCAAGGCTTCAAAAATAATTAATATTTCAACAAATATTTGTAAAATTTGAAATTTTTTAATTCTTTTTTTCGAAAAAAAAAAAACTGAATGGCATAATTTTGATAAAAAGATGTTAAGTGAGCAAACATTTTTTATATAAAAAAGTTATTTTAGGTTAGAAAAAGAAAAGTCTGTTTTTTCAAGAGAACTAACTTTATCTGTTTCTAACTTTTCTATAGGAAAATATGCCGACCTTTTCAACAGAAGCCCCGGCAATATTTTAAGTCTTACAGCTCAAGAAGTATTGAAACTTGACACAGTAGAAAAATGCGCAAGAGCTTGTCATAAATCCACTAGTTATCAGTGCCTGTCCTTTGACCACTGTCCTCAATCGAAGGACGCCCCATGCAAGCTGCACACAGTACATTACCCGAATTCTAAGACTAGAGAAAATGTCCAAGTTAGAGACACCAACTGCGGCCACTACTTTAGTGAGTATAAATTTTTCATGAATTACTTTCAAATACATAGAAGTTGATTTTAATGCAAAAGTATATATATAAGCAGAAACTAACAGCTGGGAACTCGATCCTGTCGATTGTCTGTTAGACAATCGAATATACTAAACCATCGAGTGTAACTATAACTTTAAAGTTTTTTCTGTTGTGGTTGACCTTATGACTGATGAACAGATTTAACGCTGTTTTTCGAAGCTCTGTCGCCAAGGAAAATGAAAAGCTATAGTTTAAGGGCCCTACACTTGGAGTAATGCGATGATTTTAAGCTATATATATAATCTTGCCTTGTACAAATATCTGGGCTTTAGAACAGAAAAATAATTTAAATATTTTAAAAGTTACTTAACTTTTTAGTACATTTATAACTTATTTTATGACACAGTTATAAAATATTAAAGAAATGTTATATTTAACTGTCGTAAGTAATGTTAAGCATAAATATGCGTATTCTTATTCGTCCAAACGGCATCTAAATTTCAAGGCGTTTAAAATTAATAAACTAATTCTAAAATTATTGCTATTAAAAATAATTATTATGACATTTGTTTTATAAACAAATTTTTAATTCTTAAACTGCATATTAATACCCTTTAAATATCATAAAACTTATAGAAATATTCCAAAGTTTTAATGGTGAGAGGTTGGGTATCAACAGCCCTAGAAGCATTAAACTTAAAATTACATATTTGTGTACTCATAATTTTAGCCAAAATCTGTTAAGTCTTAAATTCTGGGTCAAATATGAAGTAAAGAAAATTTTTAACAGCAAAAAAATATTTCCTCTGGACTTACAAATTTTAAAAAAATCTAAGATACCCATTTTGGATTACCGGATTTGGACAATTCGATCGTACTTCGTTTAAAAAAATAAAACTCCAAATAAACCCATCACGGAAGGTAATGGGATTTAACAGTAGAATTCAGTCTATTTGAGAGTATTTTCCAAACACACCAAAAAATCTAGATAAAGTCACTTCACCCCGACTTACGATACTCATGTTGAAATACAGGATATAGTCTGTTTGCACGTATTTTTAACAAGGAAAAAAAAAGGGCCTGAAAATCGAGGCAAATTGAGAAAGAGGCAAACTGGCTTACGATATTGACATTTAACTGTAGGATTTGGACCGTATTTTTCAAAAGGATCTTAAATCGGGATAAAGCAATCCTAGCTTAAGATATCGAAAGTTAACTACAGAATTTTGTCTTGACTGCATAGATTTGACATAGACCACATAGATTTGATCTACCTTTGACTTTCGCAGAGACGAGAAAATCTTCTCAATCATTTCCGTGTTAGTTACAAATATTTAATTGCGAAATTTGGTCTGTTAGATTGTATTAAAAAATAATTTAAAGGCCAAGTCGAAATCCTTCTTGCTTAAGATACCGATATTTAACTGCAGGACTTGGATTATTTGAACCGTACTTTATACCGTAGTTTTAAGAAACCGTAGTTTTAAGAACCGTAGTTTTTAAAAAAATAAATTACGAAACAAAGCCATCACAGTTTAAGGTACTGTGATTTAACTTCAGGATTTAGTCTGTTAGAAAATACTTTCAAAATAAGCACCTGAAAATCGATACAAAGTTATCTATGCTTTTAAAAACAATATTTAATTGCATGTTCAGACCAGAAATATTTTATTTTATTTTATAACCGTTGTTAAACAGCCGACCCGATTTTTGCGTTTATGACTACTAATGTTCAATTCCGTTGCCTTTTCTTTTTGAACCTAATTCAGAAGACAGGGGAACTCTAGGATCATGTATTGGGAAAAATTTGCCTTCGTGGAGGTCTTTTTGATGGAACTAACCTGCAGTTGCGTTACATGGAGAGGAAAACCATGAAAACCTTCCACGGATAGCTTGATGGCACTGGGACTCTAACCCATGATTCGTCTATCAGTGAGGGTATTTTACGTCAGCACTGTGATCTTTGCAATCCGGGTGCGGATTTCGTATCAATCAGTCAGTTCACCTCATTGGGAGACTCTATCTCCTGAGCAACAAACCAGACACATTGACGTTAATATGTGATTGTTATTGATTTTATTTATTACATTTTTTCAGGAAAATTCAGCACTGAATTCAGGAAGTACCCGAACAAGCGCTACTTAGGAAGTACCATCCCACCCATAACCAATGCCACTCTCGAAGAATGTTCGAAAGCATGCATGGAATACAAAAAAGGAACATGTTTTGGATACGATTTCTGCCAAGACGTGTCCATGCTGGCCACCAGCTGCCTCCTTCTGGACAGCGATCCAGCTAAGATGAAGGCCAGTTATTCCGAAGTCTGTACAAATTTCTTGAGAAGTGAGTGAGAGTTTCAATGCATTTACTCGTAAACAATTTCTTAAATTATCGAAGTTATTGGTTTCAAAAATATCATAAAAGTCTTTCTAGAGTGTTAAAGGAACATGTTAGACATTGATAATTTAAAAAAAAAGATTTTTTTGAAAAAATTTAAGACAATCTAGTTTTTAATCTGTTTTTTTTCGTTTATCTTTAAACCTTTTTTTTTTATTAATTGAAATTTTAAAAGAAATATTTTAGCTTGAGGGGAATTGGACACCAGAAGGTGGGTTTTCATTAAACTAACAAGAAAAATGAACCTGTATAAAGAATAGCTGGTAGAACAGCCATTTTTCATCTTCCGTTACTCAAGACAGAATATTTTTCAGGGATTTTTAAATTTTCTCTTCCTACCGTGCCCTTACAGGACTCAAAAGTTTCATCGATAATATTTAAATAAATGTTATTTTTTCTCTTTCTAATTGCAGAGCTTAGTGGAAGAACCGTCTAATTATTTAATCTATTCATTCCGAAGATACTCTGTGGAAGAACCGGCTGAGTAACATTATTTGAGTATTCATTGGATGGAAGAACCTGCTAAGTGACTTGGCGACAAACAATAGAAAAGACCTAGAAAATCTCTTGCTTGAATCTAAGGCGAGGGGAGGAAAAAAAAGCAGCTTCTATACATTAAGACAGAATATATTTTCGAATCAATAATTAAAAAAGACAAGAAATCCTTAATCAGCTTCAACATACAATTTTTTTGTTTCAGTTTCGCATTAGTTTGGGTTTCAGACATACTGCCCTAGTAAAAAATTTTATTTTCTTAGCAAAGTCTTCTTTAAAAATGAATATTATTTTGTGCAACTTCTGCAGTTTATTATTATTGTAGCTAGCTGAATACTCGTTTTTCTTTTTGAAATAATCAATCAATCGGTAATTATCAACATTGCAAAATCGTGTTCACAATCAAATGGGTTTTGAAGATTTCATTCAAGAGAAATTAGTTAGATTTCCATTTGCTTTTTTTTTCTCGCTCTCAAGTAATAATTTGTGATTCAGATGTAGATTTTAAAGTAAAGATTTTAAAAAACTACGTTTTTCAAGTTGACTAGAATAAAATCTATTTTTGCCGGATCAGATCTAAAATCAAAAACGTAAAAGAACATCACTTTTCTGCGAAGCTTCCATAATTACCGAAAATTGTTCCATTTCTTTTTTAATACAAAATGCCTACGTTTTTTGCTTGAAAATATAGAATTATTTTCTCTAAGTTTAATTGAAAAATGAATTTTTTGAAATTTTGTTTCATTATTATTACTCTAGATTATTTTATTAAAAACAAACTATGAGTTATTAGACTTTAAAATAGCTCAAAAATATCACTTTTTGTTCGCTTAAGGCGAAATACTTTGGAAACTTAATGAGGCGGTTCATTTTCGCGTAGAGATTTGTATTTTCAATAGAAAAAAAGCAACAGCAGAAATCGAAAATTACGGGGATGATAAGTGAGTAAGCTTTGCTTCATAAGATCTTCAGAAAGGTTCTGGGTTCGAATCCCGAGCAAGGCATGAATGTTTTTTCATTCTCTGTACTATCTGCACTTACTGTGGGAGCAACGTTGGAAGAGTAGCCAACAAATCTGCCCTTCAGATTGCCTGTAGGAAGAAAAGTCATTCCCCAGGTGGACATAGGAAAAATGTTGTTGTTGTAGTTCATTTACGTCATACTAGAGCTGCTCAATGGACTATTGGCAACGGTCTGGGAAATATCCCTGAGGGTGATCCGAAGACATGCCATCACAATTTTGATCCTCTGCTGAGGGGATGGCACCCCTGCTACGGTAGCCCAACAACCTGCAAGCGAAGTCGAGCACTTTACGGTAGAACAGTTTAACGANTGAGGGTGATCCGAAGACATGCCATCACAATTTTGATCCTCTGCAGAGGGGATGGCACCCCTGCTACGGTAGCCCGATGACTTGCACGCGAAGTCGAGCACTTTACGGTAGAACAGTTTAACGAGGACCAATACCGCACACCCTCGGTCCCTACGCAGACTAATCCAAGTGGTTGCCCACCCGCACACTGACCTCAGCCAGTGATGCTTGACTTCGGTGATCTGCTGGGAGCCGTGTATTAACGATCAGTCCACTGCGGGACGGGGGGAAATGTTTCATAAGATCTTGAGCAAAACTTGAGAACTATAATGTTTGGTTGGAAAAAGTGATTTGACATTTTTTACTTTTTGAATTACAGTGGGAACTTCTTATCTTTATTTTTATCTTGCTTGAATGAAACTAAAAATAATCAAAAATGTTGTTTAATTTGAAAACGTATTATTTTATTTCAGCTGAAGCCCAGTTTGCCCCAAGGCCCTATTCAAATGGTAATTCACTTTTCAATAATAAAAGCAACCTTTGTATTATGTTCACTAATGTGTCATGTTGCAGAACGTGTTGTGTTCAATAATGTATCATGTTCTATAAGATATGTTTAATAATGTGTATGTTCAGTAATGCGTGATGTTCAATAATATATGTTCAACAATGTGTTATGTTTAATAATGTTTTTTTTATTAATAGTATATGTTCAATAATGTGCTTCATTCATAATTAATCATTCTTAGTAATGTAATATATATCTTTAATGTTACTGAGCTCGTGACATATGTATACCATAAAACATTAGATTAATTAAAATATTTAGTTGGTATATGTACGTACAGTAGGAAAAAAAAATTGATCAACTTGAATAAGTTTTGATTTAATAATCGGATCTTCACGTTCTAGGACTCAATCTTAATGACTCTAAAGGGTGACCTCAAATATGCTAATTAATAAGCATTGAGGATATTTTAAGCTACGAAATCAGACACAAAAACGTACTTTCTCTGAATAAATATGCCTTTTTACGGATTTTTGACCCCCAAAATATAGGGGATAGCCGCAATCTGGGAAATAGGGTCCCCATAGTTTGGTCAGGAGAGCTCTCTAAAACTACCCATACACCTAACTCTCTAAAGTTACCCATAAGGTTAATTTTACTTTTTGAGTATTTCGTTATATCTCGAGAGTTTTTAATGTAGTTAAACATCTGACTTTTTTGAAATTCAATTTCTTAGGAACTATGCACCCAATTTTGCTCAAATTTTGCATTTTGTCATGTAAAATTATATTCCTCCAAATAATGCAAAAAACATACCTTAAAATTCAAATATTTTTCGCCCATTATTACATAAAATAATAAAAAATATTATATATTTAATAAAGGTCATTTTTTGCATGGAATTATCTTAAATGAATTTTATACATAATTGCGTGCAAAAATTTTTCGATTCAGCTAAAACTTTCTCGAGACATAGCGTTAATTTTATTTTTTGCGTATTTCGCCAAGCTGTCCTAACTTTAGAGCACTCTCCTGACCAAACTTTTGGGAACATATTTCCTAGATTGCGGCTACCCCCTACATTTTGGGGGTCAAAAATCTGAATCCGTCGAAAAAAAGGCATGTTTATTCAGAGAAAGTAAGTTTTTGTGTTTTATTTCGTAACTTAAAATATCGCCTGCCATCATTTATTAGCATATTTGAAGTCACTCCCTTGAGTCATTAAGATTGAGCCATGTAACGTGATGGATTGATCATTAGATCAAAAGTTATTCAGGATGGTCCGTTTTTTATTTTGCGCACACTACTTATACTCATATTTCCTATCATTTTTAGGTTATGCTGGCGGGATAGGTTTCCTGTGTTTCGTCGTTGGTCTAGCGATAGGTGCTCTGGTTCTTTTTGGTATAGCCTATATGAGAGTCAATAGGCACTGAACTGTAATGATTTGAAGAAGAACGAGAGCTCGAATAGTTCGATGCCTCGAATATTTCAGTCAAAGACTCTTCAGCTGTACATAAACTGTAAACTAGTAGTTTATTTTTGTTCCATCCTACTTTTGTATTGTCACTTTTGAAAGATTTGTGTAACTTGTAAAAGTTTATAGTTGTGTAACTAATAAAATACGTTGTTTATATTATTCATACTGATTTACACGTTTAACTTTTAACTTTTAAACACGTTTAACTTTTTATATTAAGATAACTGTCATATTTCTAAAAGGTTTTGTCTCTTTTTTTTAAAAGTAGTATATCAAATTAAAAGCAAACTCCAATTTGACATGTTACTTAAGAAGAATTAAATGATTCAAAATATCAGAAAGGAATGTGACCGAGTCTTTATAGATTTGCAGAAAGGCGCTTTTTGGATACTTAAGTTTGGGAATCGTAGTGTAAAGACTTCGCAATTTTGAGATTCTGCCTTAGCCATCGCTACACGTACACGTTATATTCAGATTTGTTTCAGATAATACTCCTTTCCTAGTTTATACAATAAAGTTGGCACAAGACACAGTAAGATATGTGAACTTTTCAATTTTCTGTAACCTCCTTAAATTGGCCACTATGTTTTTTTCTAAGCAAACTATTATTTTCAAACCTTTTGGTTTCTACAAAAGTTGAATCAAATATATACTGTATAATATCCCCCGAATACTTGTTATTACTTTCTATAAATTACTTCATCACCGGCATTGAATGACCAATCCATATTGTAAATATAAAATAAAGATTGGTTATTAAATGCCGGACCAGGAGCAAGCAGGAAAACTATCTCATTTTCATCTCCAATGCTTGATTTTTGTCCGGCAGTCACTAGCTGATTCTTTTAGCGGATTTGCAATAAGGACTTACTTATCACTGCCTCAAATAGACCAAGCATTGGAATTATCTCACTTGCATTTTCCTTTTTATTTATAAATTTGTAAAATTAAAAGTTTTAATATTCTTTTATTATATATGGAAGATAATGAGTTTGATTAGGGTAAGATAAGTTCATTGTCTGATGGAATCCTCAATACAGGTTCAATCTCTCTCCTGTGCATAGAGGAAAGCGAATATCTAATTTTATCGATTAAAAATATTTCTTTTATGCATCTTATCTCTTTCATTATTTGATAGATAAACGAAAACAAAAGGTACAAAGTGGAAGATAATACAAGGGAGTAAGTATTGTTTTTTTTTTTTTTAAACTCGGGAGTGAAATTTCATTCCTCCTGTCAACTTTTGAGAAAGAAAGTAAGCTGAGAATATAAATAAATACGAAAAGTAAGTATTCTTCTTCGTTCGTTTTTTTTTCTTCTAAGTAACTAAACATTATAAAACTAGTAAAATTTCTATAGCCTTTAGGCGTCAGCTTAGCGTGATATAAAATTTAACTTAGATTAGGGCATCAAATACCAAAAAGTAATTTAAGAAAAGACGATACTGACTTTTTATATTAAAAATAAAATTATTAATTTTATTAATTTGTAACGAAAAAAGAAAGAAATATTTACAGATGCCGGTATCAAGGCAATTTATATTTATTCTGACATTGTGAGCGTCAGATCAAATTAAACGAGATATATCATAGCAAAAATAGTTTGAGCAACCATTATAGTATAAAAAACAGTTGACTGCTTCTTTTCCAAATGTATGCGTATGAAAATTACTTTAAATCCTTATTAAAGAGATGAAGCTATTTCAATTCTCTATTTTATGCTGTAATAGCAAAAGATTAAAATTGTAATTTAACAATAAATATGAAATAAAAATTGCCTTCGTTGAATGTCCGAAGTAAAAAGTGTTTCATATCAATTTTTGATTTTAGTTATTGATGTAATGTAAAATATTACTCCTGTAATGGAAAGGAAATCCAATTGTACTATAAATAATATGCATAAAACACATTATGTAGAGAAAAAAAAATTTTTACACTATAATATATAGTAAATAGGATGGTATTTTTTCTTACCCAAATATTTTTTCAGTATTACTGTAACATGAAATTATTACTTGAGCCATCAAAATAAGAAAGAAAAATTTCATGTCTGAAGTAATGTGAAATAGAAAGAGTTTTAAACTTTGCTGTAGTACAGCGCACAAGAAAAAAAACTTTAACTTTTGTAACTTTTCATATAATGATCTGATTTTTACATTTTAGAACTCAATCTTAATGACTCGAGGGGGGACTTCAAATATGCTAATTAATAAGATCAGACGATATTTCAACTTACAAAATCAGACACAAAAGCGTACTTTCTCTGAATAAACATACCTTCTGTTTACGGATTTCTGATTCCAAAAATATATGGGGTAGCAGCAATCTTTGAAATAGGGTCCCAATAGTTTGGTCAGTAGAGCGATCCAAAGTCTGGACGCCTTATAATTATTTTACTTTTTGCGTACTTCGCCATACCTCTAAAATTATTTAAGCGAAATGAAATTTTTTTTACACACAAATGTAAGGTATGTAATTCTAGGCATCATTTAAAAAAATGTAATTTTATGTTTCAAAATATAAAATTCTATGTTACTAAGAATTTTATGTTCCTGAGAAATTTAATTTCAAGTATCTGACTTCTTTTAAATTCAATTTTTCTATAACTATTCGACCTATTTCGCACAAATTTTTCAATTCGCTTAAGAGTTGTGATATAGCGAAATACGTAAAAAGTTAAATTAACATTGAGGGGTCCAAACTTTGAATCGCTCTCCTAACCAAACTTTTGGGAACATCTTATCATATTTTAGGTCACCCCCTCGAGCCATTAAGAGTGAAAATCCAATCATTAGATTAAAAGTTATTCTGGGTGGTCTATTTTTTTTTCTTTAATGGCGCACTGCATGTACATACGCACATGTAAATATTATAGTTCTAATATTTTTATGTCATGATTATTTAGTTATTTGCTAATTTACTTGTCCTCTATTTTAATTGGCAAAATAAAAACGAAGGGAACATATGAAACTGGTTTTATTATTTCAAATAAAAAAAGACACCAACAATTCAATCACAACAGTCATCTATTATGCATATAAAGGCAGTGAAAATTTTAGCTGTTTGAATTAAAGTGGAATTTCCTGTTGAAAAAAGGATTCCCGAATTTAAAAGAAAAATCCCCGAATCTAAAATAAAACGAATTGTAAACATGTTGGTCACACTTACGTAATTTAAGAAAGATAAGAAAAGATAAAGAGAGAAATAGTTTAAAAATATTTTGCACATGCTTTGGGACACTAATTTAATCTCAACAGTTGTAACGTTCTTTCGTGATTAAATTTCATAGAAATGTTGTTATCATATCAGTTTCGTTATTAAATTGATATGATAACTTTTTGTATCATAATTTATTAAATTAACTAGTCAGTTTTGCTATTAATATATGAAAATTAAATATACGTCTGCAAAAGCCTGTGTTCAGTGAGAAAAAAAGTATCATCCGAAATAACTTCCGATTTAATGATCAGATCTTAATGGTTTGAAGGAAACATTTAATTAATGATGTATAAATTATCATCTATATATATATANATTAAATTTCATAGAAATGTTGTTATCATATCAGTTTCGTTATTAAATTGATATGATAACTTTTTGTATCATAATTTATTAAATTATAGTCAGTATTGCTATTAGTATATGAAAATTAAATTTACGTCTGAGCAACATAAAGAGAACTTAAAAACCCTATCCTTAATGGGACAACCTTAAAACACATACCATAATGTCAAAACTATCTACGTATTTAGATCTAAAATATATCAATATGCGTTGATACAAGATAAGATATGTGAAAACTATTTGCGTATGCTGATAAATTTTAAAGCCTTTTTAAATTCTGCTTTTTACTTATAAAAGGTGTTAAGTGAAAAAAAAAGTATCACCCAAAATAACTTCCGGTTTAATGATCAGATTTTAATGGTTTTGACGGAAACATTTAATTAATCATATATAAATTATCATTATAATTATTACCATTATAATTACTATCATTATTATCATTATAATTAATATCATTATTATCTTTATAATTATTATCATTATAATTAGTATCGTTATTATCATTATAATTATTATCATTATTATTTATATTAATTAACTAATATTATCCTTAATTAAAAATAAATCAATCAAAAGTTTGAGCCTTTTAATATTGATTTCACTTTTTATGTATTTTATGTATTACTGTGGTATTTTATAAGCAACTAGAAAACATTTTGCACATAATTATAAAACTCGTTTATCTAAAGATAATTCCATGCCATAATAATTTTTAATAGCAATTTATTATTTTTAATATTTTGTTTAACAATGGTCAAAGAAATTTTTGAATTTTTTCATTATTCCTACTCAATGGAATTCATTAACTCATTTCGGTGGGTAGCTTTTCAGACCGAGGAAATGCAAATACGAATTGGCCAAATCACCGGGCCAAAATCAGAAACATTTTTATTTGTGATTTTGGCCCGATTTTTCATGGAAATTTCAATTCTTTTGAAAATTATACTGCAATTTTTAATGACATTTTCGTAATTTTAACTCTCTCTTTTCATAGTTTACATAATTTTACATTTAGTGCTGCATCTCAAATAATATGAGACATAGAAATTCGAAGCTATGAAGAAATGTAAGAAAATGGACTGGGAGTACGATGAAATAAAATAAAAATTAACATTTGATAATTAATTCAAAAATTATTAATTAACAAATTATTATTGATTAGCAAAATATTTTTATTAACGACTTGATTTTTATTATATATTTTTGAAAAAATATCGCTTTTTAAGAAAAGAAAAAAACAAAACAATGAGGAATGAGACGGAGCAATAGGGGTGGAAAAAAGAGAAAAGGGTGAAGCCTCCTTATAAATTGGAAATTTTTTTTTATTTTGGATGAAGTCAGTGATTCCAGAGAAAATTCATTGGGTTTAAATTGTATCTCATAGGAATCAGGAACTAAATCTAAGGGGAATTCAGTAAGCGTAAAGTGGTTTAGATGGTTTTGATTTCATTGAGTAAGCATCAACGTACAATGCGAGGGAAAAAATTAAATAAATTAATAAATAGAGCACCCAAAATAACTTTTCCTCTAACCATCTTATTTCTAGTACTTGATCTTAATGGTTCGAGGGGATGGGGACCTCAAATATGTTAATCAATTGGAGCAGACAATATTTTATTTTACGAAATAACACACAAAAACGTATTTTCTCTTAATTAACACGCCCTTTTTTCAACGAATTTTGATATCTGTCGCTCAAAATATAGTGGGTAGCCAGCATGGGAAATAGGGTTCCAATAGTATGGTCAGGAGAGCGATCTAAAGTTTGGACCCCTTAACGTTAATTTTACTTTAGACATATTTAGCATATCTCGAGAACTTTTTAAGCGAATCAAAAAACTTCAAAAAGTCAAAAGTTTTGAGACATGCAATTTCAAAATCATCTTAAAGGATGTCATTTTAAATGGCAAAATAACAAAATTTGTGCGAAATAGATCAAATAATTCCTGAGAAAACAAGTTTTAACTATACAACTTTTTTAAAATTTGATTTCTCAGGAACTAGAAGCTGAAATAATCTTTTATTATTATTTATTACTATTCGTCACCTTTCCCGGTTATTTTACGTTTTTAAATGAAGCAAAACTCATTTTTAGTCGCTCATATCTTCAATATAAAGATTAATTGTGTACAGTATAAACAAAACTAATCAAGCATCATTTGCGTCAATAATGATATGCCAAGATCTTACGCTTCTCTTGAACGAATTAGTGCTATTTCTCCACTAGTTTTGTCTTTCAAGGCAAATTTTTTATTTCAATTACTATTAATTTTAAATTATTTAGTTAGTTGGAAAAAATTTTCAAAAGCATAACTACAAACAAACTTAACGCGTAGAGAGCTTTAAAAATTATTTTGGTAACGTAGTCTGTCTATGCTATCACGTTCATGTTGATCATTGAGTTTATTTGATATAGAAAACTAGGAGGCTCCGCCCCCTGCTCGCTAACACTCGCCAACCCCCGAGAAATGCAATCCTATGTGGTTCACNTTATTTGATATAGAAAATAATTAGGTATTAAAGAACGTACAATAAACTAAAAAAAAGCTAACAATAAGCTATCACAACTCACTGATGCTACATTCAAGTTATTTGAAGAAGAAAAAAGTTTTGTTTAATTGGTATAAAAGTTTCCAGTTTAATTGATATAAATGATGAGTTCTAAGCCAGCAAGAAAATTCCATTTTCCAATTGAAATTTTCGAATTTAAATTTTTGAACGATTTTTAGGATCGAGAATTAAAATTACACCTATATTCACTGTTAAAATTTCAGGACACTAGCATAAACAGTTCTAGAGCTATAGGAATAACACACAAACTAACCCTTCATTTTGTTATTATAGATATATATTTTGCTGAGCCTGTATACTGTCTTTTCTTAAAGTACTAAACNTTCCATGAATTAAAGCTTAATTCCATATGTTTTTACGTCTTTTTTTCTGTATCGCGCATTGATACGTATGCACTATCCATTTCATGCAGCTCTGTGGATGTCTCGCACGACTTTCTTACTTTCTTTGCTTGCTCCCCTAATTTTTTTGAGCAGTGTATTTTGCTGAACCTGTATACTGTCTTTTCTTAAAGTACTAAACAATATACTAAACAAAGTCTAATCTGATAGCATGCTTAACATCGCATCGAAAGAAATGCGTATCATCGCAAACCTTTCTGTATATTATTTGGTTTACAAAATGGCAGTTTCATGATAGGGAAGATCTCTGCCATCGATGGATCTAAAATGATTGTAATTAAATGCGTAACATCGCAAACCTTTCTGTATTTTATTTCCTTTACAACAGCAATTTCATGGCAGGAAGGCGTCCTAACACAGATGGATCTAAAAGCTGATTGTAATTCATGCATTATATTTATTTTGCCGACGCAGTATACAGTTTTTTCTTACATTAAACGCTAATCCAATAGCCGGTGTAAATGTAGAGCATCGCAAACCATCCTGTAAATTACTTTCCCTACAATAGTTGTTTAATGGCAGGAAAGCAGCATCATAACATTGAAAGTTGTTGAGCTAAATTAAATATGTGCTAAAAGTAGTATAGTATGCTAAAAATAAATATATAGAAAACAACAATATTTCTTTTTTTTTTTTTAATTATACGGTTGTGTTTTATTTTATCAGCTTTTTAGAATAATAAAAAAATTGATATTATGTTTCAAAGAGAAGGTACTTTTTTGTGTCTGATTTCGTAACTCAAAATATTGATTAATAAGCATATTTGAGATCATTTTTTTGAACCTTTAAGATTCACTCTTAGTTCATGAAAATCCGAACATTAGAACAAAAGTTATTTAGTATCATGTCTTTTTTTCGACGTATAAAATGCTATAATAGTTCTTACAAGAGTAGATTCAATAGCAGAAAGCATAATCTGAATAATTATTGGGCGAAGAACATAAAACAGTTTGCATAATGATAAAAATGTTTGCAAAATGATAAAAATGCTTGAATGTGCAAAATGATAAAAAAAATTCCTTTAGATACTAATATAGTACACTAAAAATAAACAAAAAACAAAACAAAATTTCAAAATTATACTCATGTGTTCTATTTTATCAACTTTTCAGAATAATAAAAACTAATTTGATTTAAACAGAATGATTTAATTTTTTTACTCTGAATAACTTTTTTTTATTTCCTAGAGATTTCTTGAAAAGGTTTTAAGGATGAGATGCCTGGCAATCGTCACTCTGCTATTTAGTGCATATGCTTTAGTGCATAGTAACTGTGATTTATCTAATGCAAAAAGAGGTAAAGTGTCTCAATTTATTCTTTTGATGTAAAAATATAATTATTCTTGCATTTTATCTACCCACATTTAAAAGCAAAAGACTTACTTAGATTGTTCGTGAATTGAATGAGCACCCTGCCAGTCATATGGAGAATTCTAAACTTTTTGTGATTTTGTGTGGGACAACTACAATAAGAAATCAGAACATACATCTATTACGCATATAGAGGGAATGAAACTCTTAACTACTTGATTGAAAAGGGAATTTCCGTAATAAAGCGGGGAATCTCTCACGCTCTTTGAAACTCTTTCTTTAATTGAAAAATGTTCACTCACACACTTGTGATTTTCACACATTTGTGATAAAGCTGTAATTTAAAACTCTCTATATCATCTTGATCAAAATATTATTTGGGAGTTAGAATTTATTTAATAAGTTATTAAACTTTTTTAAAGCTGTTTGTTGTCATTCCCTGGGAAGGATAGCTACGAAGTCTTTTTCTTTTTATACCGCCAGATGGCGTTCTTTTTAAATTTGTATGTGTTTGTTTGCTTTTTGTTAATAAACTTTTACTTTCTGTCTGAATCTCGATCCACGGACTACAGTTGGCAGCACGGCTGTGGTTTTGAGAATTATGACGCAGTAAAAAGTTTCACTTAGTTTCGCCGTGATTTACATCGTTTNGTAAATTACTTTCCCTACAATAGTTGTTTAATGGCAGGAAAGCAGCATCATAACATTGAAAGTTGTTGAGCTAAATTAAATATGTGCTAAAAGTAGTATAGTATGCTAAAAATAAATATATAGAAAACAACAATATTTCTTTTTTTTTTTTTAATTATACGGTTGTGTTTTATTTTATCAGCTTTTTAGAATAATAAAAAAATTGATATTATGTTTCAAAGAGAAGGTACTTTTTTGTGTCTGATTTCGTAACTCAAAACATTGATTAATAAGCATATTTGAGATCATTCTTTTGAATCTTTAAAATTCACTCTTAGTTCGTGAAAATCCGAACATTAGAACAAAAGTTATTTAGTATCATGTCTTTTTTCGACGTATAAAATGCTATAGTAGTTCTTACAAGAGTAGATTCAATAGCAGAAAGCATAATCTGAATAATTATTGGGTGAAGAACATAAAACAGTTTGCACAATGATAAAAATGTTTGCAAAATGATAAAAATGCTGTGCAAAATGATAAAAAAAATAAATTCCTTTACAAACTAATATAGTACACTAAAAATAAATAAAAAACAAAACAAAATTTCAAAATTATACTCATCTGTTCTATTTTATCAACTTTTCAGAATAATAAAAACTAATTTGATTTAAACAGAATGATTTAATTTTCTGCTCTGAATAAATTTTTTAATTTCCTAGAGATCTCTTGAAAGGTCTTAAGGATGAGGAACCTGGCAATCCTCACTCTGCTATTTAGTGCATACTCTTTAGTGCATGGTAACTGTGATTTATCTGGTGCAAAAAGAGGTAAAGTGTCTCAATTTATTCTTTTGATGTAAAAATACAATTATTCTTGCATTATATCTATCTACATTTAAAAGCAAAATACTTACTTAAATTGTTCGTAAATTGAATGAGCACCTTGACAGTCTTACGGAGAATTTTAAGCTTTATGTGATTTTGTGTGGGACAACTATAATAAGAAATCACAACATACATCTATTAAGCATATAGAGGGAATGAAAATCTTAACTACTTGATTGAAAAGAGAATTTCCGTAATAAAGCGGGGAATCTCTCACACTATTTGAAACTCTTTCTTTAATTGAAAAAAGCTCCCTCACACACTTGTGATTTTCACACATTTGTGATAAAGCTGTAATTCAAAACTCTCTATATCATCTTGATGAAAATATTATTTGGGATTTAGAATTTATTTAACGAGTTATTAAACTTTTTTAAAGCTGTTTTTCGAAAACTCATACAAATCAAACTCGTGCATATTCTAAAACTCAACATATGAAATCATGCTTTTGACAAATAATATGCTATGTTTATAACTGTCGTGAGTTTGCAACGGTTACTCACTACTGTTAGGTCAAGTTTAATCTATTTAGAGCCAGCGCTGTTTTTGCTCATTTTGAAATGTCACAAAACGTCAATATGGAGAAAAGCGACAGTTTTATAAAAATAAAAAACGTTTGTGGTCTAATTTTTTAATATTTCAAAAGCTTACTCCAATGCTGCATTACCTGGGCTCATGAAAATTTGCAAAAACTGAGAATAAGGCAGTGATCTTGATAGTTTTCACCTAAGTGAAAAAATGTCGCTAAACTGGCAATTTTTTAAAAAGTTTAATAACTTTTAAAATATTTAAGTTATTCGTAAAATATGAAGTTATTCTTCACTGCAAGATGATCAATATAACTTAAAATAATCGCTTTGCTGCAAGTCTAAGCAATTAAACTGTGATTTTTTTAAAAATATTTTCTTTGGCGCCAGAGCTACAAAAACAATATTAAAAAGTCGAAAATTTGGAAAGATTTTTCCCCCAACATAAAAATTAAAAAATTCTCAATTTTTTTTCCTTCAAATTTTTGTAAGCCCAGATGATGCTGTATTGGAGTAATTTTTTAACTCATGAAAAAATTAAATCACAAACACTTTTTAATTTTTGTAAAATTGTGTTTCCCATATTTTGACGTATCGCGCCATTTTCAGAAATAGAGTATTAAACTTCGCTTATTAAATTTTTTTAAAAAAACTCTAGAACTTAATAAAAAATATTATTTATAAGAAATCCGTATATATATATGTTTATTTTTAAATTAAATTTTAAGTAAATTAAGTTTATTTCGTAAATTAATTTAGTAAATTAGTTAGTAAATAAAGTAAATTTTTAGTAAATAAGTAAATTAAGTTTTTTAAACCGAATAAGATTATAACAGAATATTAGATTTTAGTTTCAGCAGGTGATCACCTATATCTAGTTTTTTAAGACATAAAAAATGGCATCTCCTTTTAGTTGCATTAAATAAACATGAGCGCTTTTGAAATTCTTACATAAATTTAGAGATCGATTTGTTAATAAAGGTGACATAGCGTATTAGAACATTAAATTTCAGTATCAGAATATGTAACATAATTTCTTAATTCATGTATTTTTTTGATTAATTTAGATGTGGACTTTCCTGATATAGAAAAAGATGGCATAGAATCGTACCAGCTTTCTGTGGAATACACAATTCCAAATGTTGTAAGTACAATATTAATAAATTAATGTTGTTACATTGAAGCCAGCACAAAACGTCAATAAATCAAATATCCGTACCTTCCTCGAGAGAATGTAAGTAATTTCTGCCCATGTTTTTCGTTTGAAAAAAATTAAATCTCTACCTGATCACTCTGGAGCTCAAAATTAAGAGAATGGGATACCTGTAAGTGACGTAGTATGGGTATCTCGATCCTGATTGGTTGTTGAAACGTGGCATTTGATTACGTTAGCAACTGTTCTTTCCATTTTATTTCGAGTTAGCCAAGCCCATCAAGTTTCAAAAGTGACATGTTTTAAATTATTTCGCAAAAATTCTTCCTCGAAGATTTTAATTCTTTCACTATATATTTGCACAGAGACTTAACACAAAGACAGGTAAGAAGCCACATGGAACATAAACAAACTAATTATGCATCGAAGTTGCTAGGTGCACAAAACAAAGTTGTATCACGGTTACAATAAAATAGATAAACAAATAATAAATCTAAGTTAAGAAGAAGAAATAGGCGAGAGATAATTATATTTCCACTAATTCGAGGAGTGATACGGCTATGTATTTAATCAACTTATCGTTAATAAACATCCTAACTTATGTAGAGAAACTTAGCTCAACTTTAATCCGCCTTTTTGCTGATAAAGATCAGCTGGTGCTGGCGTCATAGGTAACATATGTGGGTATGGGAGGCTTTATTCTTGAAGCGCAAGTACCCAATTTCCTAATTTTTTCTATAACTCCCGGACTACTGTTACTTTATGTAGAAAATAATAGTGTCCGGTGGCAATTGGGTACTTGCACATAAGGAAGATCTTCCATATCCAAAATATGACTTATGACGTCAGCACCAGCTGATCTTTAGCAGCAAAATGGCGGATTAAAGTTGAGCTAAGTTTCTCTACATAAGTTAGGATGTTTATTAACGATAAGTTGATTAAATACATAGCCGTATCACTCCTCGAATTAGTGGAAATATAATTCTCTCTCGCCTATTTCTTCTTCTTAACTTAGATTTATTACTTGTTTATCTATTTTATTGTAACTGTGATACAACTTTGTTTTGTGCACCTGGCAACTTCGATGCATAATTAGTTTGTTTATGTTCCACGTGGTTTCTTACCTGCCTTTGTGTTAAGTTTCTGTGTAAATATATTGTGAAAGAGTTGAAATCTTTGAGAAAGAATCTTTATGAAAGAATTCAGAATGCGTCACTTTCGATACCTTGCGGGCTTAGCTTACACGAAATAGAATGGAAAGAACAGTTGCTACTGTAAACAAATGCCACGTTTCAACAACCAATAGGGATCCATAAATCCATACGACGTCACTTGCCAGGTATTCCATTATATTCGCCCATCATTACTATTTTAGGGTCCAGGATGTTTTGTGTAAGGTATTGTGAATTACGATTGCTGCACAATATTTCATGAAATTGAGTTCTAGAGACATAGATCGCTATTTTTTACTGCGAATATGGTGAGTGTTCTAGAAAAATCGCTGATCAAATGAGCTCTGTGTGGTCGTCATCCATTAAAATGGAACTAGGGCAATCTGCGGCAGTAAAAATTAGAGCAGGAGACTCCAAAATGTTATGTCAATACTCATACTAGTCATATCGACTTTTTCTAAAGACATGGAGAAACGTATGGTCATCGAATAGGAAATCTGCTCAAGCCATCGAAACTCCACTGCCATAATAATCGAATTTTCGAATATTGGAGAATAGGTAACTTGTCTTCTGTTCATGTTTTTATGTAGGGAAATTCAGGAACCTGGTTTTAAGTTGAACCAATTTTTCTAAGAGTGCATTTTAAAGAACAGTGGTTGCTGAAAATGTTTTAAAAACCGAGCTTGATCCAGGAGTTCTCTTGTCTTCTAGATACGGTTCTTTACAGGTTGCCATAAATGAAACATCATCGCTCATTCTAGCTCCCAACTTGGTAATAACTATGAATATACTTAATGAATGAACTTAAAATAAAAGATTCACCTAAATAAAAGATAAAGCCACCTACAAAGTAAATAAATAAATAAATAAAAATTAAAGCACCAGATGATTTAGTATTAACAACTTTATTACCTGCGCCAACGCAATGGAAAAATGGCAAATTCCATTATTTCAGACAATAACATCAGAATTAATTGTAACATCAAGAAATTCATGAAGCGATTACATAAGATCCAACTTCTTTACTTTCTTATACCTTTACGAGATCACCACATATCTATACAATACCTTTGCGTTATCTTTTATTGCAACAGGTTCACTATATCTCTTTACAAAAATCTGCCTCAACCATTTAAGTCTGAAGCAGTTCTAAAAATGTCGTCTGCTTTTTCTATCTCGAAGCTCTAAACTAATTTACTGCTTGTGTTAGCCTTTGTTTTTGTTGACTCTTATGATACACACAATGGATAATACACACATACAATGGATAGTGTAATATCTAATTAATTTTAAATTCTAGCAACAAACCAATTACTACACTGAATATTATGATCTTGTTGAGAGACGAGGCAGAATAGATGCCCATCAAGAAGGGAAAAGTTTATCTTATATGTACTGGACACAGACCAATGAAGCATGGGAAATAACGGGTATTACTTACTTTTTATTTATTTGTTATTAGCACTTCGTAACGTTAGAAAAGTCATGCTACTTTTCCCAAACGGGAAAATATATTTGTTTCTCACATTTTTGCTTGTCATAAATTGTAGAGACTTAAAACTTAAATAGATAAATAATAATTGAAGAAATTTGTATTTTTAACATATGTTATCCACTGAAAAAAGCCAAAAGAGTTTTTATTTTTTCAGATAGCTCAGCAAACCCTTGGTTATCCTACTAAGAATTTTATCATATAAATTAGCATAAGCGAAAATTTACATATTGAAGTATAGAAATGATTTCAAAATTTTTTCAATATTATTTAACTGAGTAATAAACAATCACAAAAATCTATTTTTTACCCAACGAATAAATTATTTACCAAAAATTCTTTGTTTATCTCAAATGGTTCAAGAAATATGGTGAACTGAAAATTTTTTGCAAACAATTATAAAATTTGTTTATCCAAAGATGTTTGCATAAAAATTAATTTTGAGAAAATATTTTTTTAATATTTTACTTAGTAATAATCGTAAAAAATTAGAATATTAGGGTACACAATTTTTATATCATTTTAGAAAATGAAACTTTAAATAGCAAAATACGAAATTTGTGCGAAATCGGCCGAATAGCTCCTGTGAAATCAAATTTTGAAAAAGTCTTATTTTTAAAATTCAAATTCTCAGAAATTATTCAATCAAACTTGCTCAGAATTTGCATTTTGCAATGTAAAATTTTCATTACGTAAAATGACAAATGTAAAAAATTATATTGTGACTTTTTTCAAACTTTTATTAAATAAAATAATTAAAAGAATTATTTATTAACAGTTACTTTTTGCGTAGAATTATCTTTGGATAAATGAATTTTATAATTGTGAGCAAAAATTTTTCAATTTGCTTAAAAAGTTATCGAGCTAAGGCGAAATACGCAAAAAAGTAAAATTAACATTAAGGAAGTTCAAACTTTGGAGCGCTCTCCTGACTAAACTACCAAGACAATATTCCCCAGATTCTGACCTTTATTTTGAGTATCAGAAATCTAAATCTGTAGAAAGAAATGAAAGTTTTTTGAAGAAAAAAAAGTAGGTTTTGTTATTAATTTTGCAACTTAAAATATCGTCTCCACAAATTAACGAGCACATTAAAGTTAAAATCCCAGTACCATTAAGAATAAACCTTAATACGTGATAATCCTAAAACGAAATCAAAAGTTATGTAGATGCTTCGTTTTTTATTCAGTACACTGTGCAATTTAATAAAAATTATGTTTTAATATAACTTATTATTACCAGAACAAACATGCACATTTAAGAACGCCACAGATACACCCGATATGGAGAGTCAAGACATGATAGATTGGCGGTACAGTGTTGAAGGTGATGATGAAAAAAGAACATTCGGACCTTCCGCCATGTTCAAGATTGCAAGAGATGTTTGGAACAGTACATCGAGGAATTATAAAATGGTACGTTATTTTCACTTTAATTAATTGCAAAAGAACCATGGCAAATCGATGTTCTGCAAACTGCTAACGGGTTAAACTGGTATATTTACAAAAAAAACTTTATAGCATTTAAATGCAATAATATAATCGAACTATTGATATGACTCATCTGTAACAATATTATTATTCTAATTATTTTAAAAAAACATTAAAAATAGATGCCTTTTGAAATCAAATATGTATCAAAGAGATAATTATAAAATTGCAAATCAATTAAAATAATTGTAAGTCAAATTTTGTTTGGTACAATTAATTTAAAGGGCTAAAACTAGGTCTATTCGAAAGAAAAGTTTTGCAATAACTATTAGAAAACATAAAATCTAGATTTCATGTGAATGTCACGCTTTATACAAATTTTTGTCGAAATTTTCATTCAAACAGGGTTAGAAAAAACTGTTTTAACGAAATTGAATGATTTGGCGAGCTTGTCCAGCTCATTAATTATTTTTCTAGAAGAATACGAGGAAGTAATTTTAGTGAAAAAAATGACAAAATTATGCAGTGATGAACCCCAACTTCCACTACAATGGACCCATTAGCACTGGATACTTTCTAATCAAAATGCCCTAACTAATTGAAGAAAAAAAAAAATTTCAGTTTATTTGGGTTTTTTTAATTTTTTTAATGCTATTTTATATGTTTTCTCTTTTTTCTATTTGTCTTGTAACCTTAACCATTAACCGATAAATGCCACCTCAGGGTGGCATAGGCTTGGGATTAAATGGTGGTGTATGTGTGTGTCCAGTTCATTATGTTACGTTAATATAGTTAATACTGAACCTTGAACCGATTTGAATGTAATTTTAGACAATAATTATTAAAAAATATAAAATTAAAATTATTCAGATAAATAAAACTACTTGTTCAAAGGCACACGAAGAAGCAGTTCATAATAGTGCAGCTCCCCTAGCGACAAATGACGACATTTCCATGCACGGGTTTTCAACGCAATTCTTAAGCTGGGTCTCCACCGATCGCAACGGCAACGTAGATCAAAATCTGTTGCTGTGTTGCTTCCCATATGTTGCCAAGGTCTTTCATATCGGTAATTGGCAACGACTCTGCTTCTTGTCTCGCGCATGCTCAGAAGACTTATCACGTGATACGGTAAGCGTCATCTCTTCTGGTTTCACTTTTGTTTGAAAGCGCTAAAGTTCTATTTATTAAAATATAAAGAGCAGATCTGAAAAAAAAAATTGTTAGCCAGACGTTATTATTTAACTCATATTTTAAACGGATTTTTTTATTATTAAACTCAATATTTACTTGAATGAAAGACCATGTTTTTACTATATTATTAAAGTTTTCAGATAATACGAACTTTCTATTTCATTGTGATTTTTTTATAGGGTAAAGAAGTTTTTATAAATCAGTTAGGTAAAAATTTTAAATACTAGGAATAGAATGTAAGATGTATGAACCTTTTTAATAATTCCATAATGGTTACAAGTCATTACATAATTTAATATCTTTTCTAAATATGATTCCATTAAGATAAATGTAATAATTATTATTTTGAATGGAGAATTTACTTTATCTTTGATTTTTAATTATAAATTTGAAATTTAGCTTATTGTCTTTCACAATAGTTGTACAGATGAAATTAGTTCTTATCATATACCATTTAATTTTTGTTAATACAGTGTACAGTTTTCACAATGCCTTCAAGATAGTTCTTTCCACATTCTCTGCAGTGATCAGTAGTTTTTCTTTCTTTTAACATAATAGAATGAGATGCAGATTACATTTTCCAACCATTTTTTTGGATTATCTGCTTATGCTGTTTCCTATCTCCGATAGAAGTTAGTTGTAACATTTACTAGATACCTTGCATTGCATTGAACTGAAAAATTGCATCGCTTATTTTTTAAATAGTGAATTAGCTAAATAGCAGTCCTTAAAGAATATTTTGTTCCTTTATTGCAGGCATACATGGGTAAAACTGATTTCACTATTAGAGGTCTCAAAGCCCAGTATTGGAGGAGGTGCAGTGGAAATGACAATTCTTACGTTGATTATTATTTCACGAGTGAGTATTTCATGAAAACGGATATCTAGTTTTAAATTATTATTTTGTCCTTATTTAACAGTTTATATGTTCAAAACTATCATTTGAAAAGCTCTATAAGCTGAAAAGCACATAAACGACGTGCTTTACATTACAGAGGGAAGATGTAGAAAACGTTTTTCATGTAGATGAATCGAAAATGCTTTTAAACTTAATATAGAAGGATTTTAATAACAGAAGGTGCTTGAAAATCAATTGCAGTCGAAGCCAGATTTGACTAAAAATATCGAAAACTAACTAGAAAATTATTGAAAATGGCTTACACTGTATTATTTTTATTAACAATAAATGGAAGAAAAAGTTTTAGTTTTTTGTAACTGAACTTTGTACTCTTTCTTCGGTTATAATAATGCACAGTGGGCCAGCATCCAATTTCGTGGCCAAAATTAGTATTTCGATAAAATTTGTTTCAAAATTTGGAGGTTTTTATTTTGATGTTTTCATTTAGGGGTTTTTATGTGCAGGTAAATTGAATTTATAGTTAAAGTTTTGAAATACACTAAAAATACCCAAAAAAAAACAAAATGGCAGTTGAAATATGGTGAGCAAAACTAAAAAAAGTAATATAGTACGTTTAAATAATTAAATATAGCAATGAAAATATAATAATTTTTGTAATTTTATATTAAAAATGAGAAGCAAATATATTTCCGAAGTAATATTACAAAATAACGCGAAAACATGAAAAAAAAACATAATTTTTGTTTTTCGGTACATTTAGTCCACTTTTGCAATACGGGCAAGATGGGGCAGGTTTTTTCGAAGAAACATCAAAGAAGACAACAAAAAAAAGTTTAGCTAATTACCTCGCGGAACTTTTTGGAACTAAGTTTCGAAAGTGATTCAAACATTGTAAAATGTCAAATGATAAGATATAAACTATAAGTTTGTCAAGAGTATTAACTAATCCTACACATTGAAAAATTGTACTATAATTTCAGACTAATTACTCTGATAAAAATGAAACAGTGAGGTGAAATTCCTATATATACTTCTGAAATAAAAATTTGAAAGTTACATTTAAAAAAAGAATTTTAGCATATTTTTCATTACATTGTACTCTCGTCGGTCCAAAAAGTAAATTATAATATTTGGAATGATTATGAATACTTAATTTGGGCTATATTAAAACGACCTACACATATTTCAGATGAAAATTTAGTTTTTGACTTTTGGCCAAAGATCATGGCCCATAGTGTAATGTCGCAAAATAAATTAAAAGTTAATAATTTCTTTGCAAATTTTTGGGTCTTTGGATGCGGATAATGAGCATTGCTCAATTATGTCTCATAATTTTAGTACTCAGCATTTTGTTAACGTTTGGACAGATAAAAGTACTCAGATATTTGAGCCGTAGAAGGTTGAATCTACCCAATGGTTTTCATAGCAATATCTTTTGTTAATCATTAAATTGGGTCATGCATGAATTATTCTCACTCGTGGCCACGCTATAGCTCCATCATATATTTTGATTGCATAACAAGATAGATATGAAGAACGCCATATTGTAAATGTTACCACGGAGTGTACAGTGCCCCAAAAAAATGAACTACCCTGAATAATTTTTGATCTAATGATCGGATTTTCACGTTCCAGTACTCAATCGAAATGGCTCAAGAGGATGATCTCAAATATGCTAATGAATAGCTGCAGACGATAAGTTGCGAAGTCAAGCACGAAAACGTATTTTATCTGAATAAACATTGCTTTTTTTTTCTTTTTTTTGATGGACTCAGATTATTGACTCCCAAAATTTAGGGGGAAGCCGCAATCTGGGAAACATGATTCCAATAGGTTAGTCAGGAGGGCGCTCCAAAGTTTGGTCCCCATAATATTAATTTTACTCTTTGAGTATTTTGCTCTATCTCGAGAACATTTTAAGCGGATTTAAAAAGTTTTGCACAGATTTAAAAAATTCGTTTATCCGAAGATAATTCCGTGTAAAAAAAAACTTTTAGTAAATATTTATTATTTTTTTATTATTTTATTTAATAATGGTTGGAAAAATATCAAATATTGTAAGGCATATAAATTTTTATGTTTTAAAGAACAGAATTTTACAAAGCAAAATACAAAATTGGAGCAAAATCGGTCGACTAGTTCTTCAGAAAACGAGTTTTAAATATTTGACTTTTTGATTTAAATATTTGACTTTTTGAAATTCAATTTCTCAGAAACTAGTCAGCCAATTTTGCTAAAATTACATAATTTTCTGTTCAAAATTATATTCTTTAAAACGGTCCAAAAATTAGTGTACCTTACAATTCGAAATTCTTTCGACCATTATTAAATAAAATAATGAATATTTATGTAAAAGTTATATTTGCATAAATTTATCTTTCGATAAACGAATTTTATAATTTTGGGGCAAATTTTTTCAATTTGGTTCAAAAGTTCTTGAGATACAGCGAAATACGCAAAAAGTAAAATTGGCATTAAGAGGTCCAAACATTGGAACGCTCTCCTGACCAAGCAATGGAGATCCTTTTTCCCTGATTGCGACTACTCCTTATATTTTGGGGGTCAGAAATCTAAATCAGTCGAAAAACAGATGTCTTTTTTCAGAGAAAGCATGTTTTTGTGTCTGATTTCGTAACTTTCGGCACTTATTCACTAGCATATCTGAAGTTAGCCCCTCAAGCCATTAAGATAGAGTCCTAGAACGTAAATATCCGATTATTAAATCAAAAGTTATTCAGGATGGCCTGTTTGTTCCGCGCATTGTATAAGTTAGTTATTCTACTGAATATCTAGTTTACGTACATTTATTACCTTTAAGTGCCGAAAATTGCTTCTTAAATTACTTAGATAATCTACAAACTACCTAATAATTCCTCATTAACTACTAAGTATTCGCTAAAGTATTCGTGTATAACTATAGTATTACTACCAAGTATTCGTGAAAATAAAATCCTGCCTGGAACAACGTCAACATTTCTGTTCGATTAAAGTAACACAATGTTATAAAATTATTTTTGCTACCTAAACATTCAGGTGACAACAGCGAACACACTAGTTGACAGAATCAATCATCGATTACTTTAGAAACTATAATACTAAGAATCGGTTTTAAAATATTATTACAATTAATGAAATTAGCATAATATTATTAATTTATTTTTCATTGCGAAAACAATTATGAATGAAGCCATTTTGTTCCGTGAAGCTAGTACATACTGTAACTGAGAGGGCTAATCGGTCAACTGAACAGAAGTTCGAATCTCAGCGTTCATACTACAATATTTCTTCCATTCCTTCAATAAAATGAAAAATTTCTAATGTTCTGCTTGCTACAATCGGTGACCCAAGACGATTAGAATATCATGCCGGTTATTTTACCGTAATTTCAGAAAGAAAATTCTGACAGTTCAGTAATACGCATATTCTTTGTTTATTTATAAACATATTTTCAACGAACTGAACTAAAAAGATATTTTCTTACCTTTTTGGAGAGAATGAAAATTTCAAAAACGATTCAATACTTTTTATTCTATTAACTTCAATACAATAATTTTTTAAAAAGCAAATGAATAATTTCTCCTTAAATTCAAGTTATGTTCGTAACAACAACAGCCGTCTTCTGAGCAGAGTCAAAGTTTAGTGGTATTCCTGCCATGGCTGTTAAAAGATAGAGCCTTAGGTGCTAGGTCATGGTCAGGTATGTGTGTGTAATACTTGATCGCTAACATTTGATGATGAATTTCTTTGCAGCTGACGATGAGCAGGATCCTCTCGGAACCGATTTGAAAAGAATACCCCTGAGGGTGTATTTCGGTGGCAAGAAAGACGGAATGGGAGAAGAAACTTCAATTCAACAATACGAAATCATCACATTGCAACCTTTCATCTCGAGGAACGTCTATCCATTCCAAGTAAGACAATCCCTTGTAGAAATCATAAGATAAACCTTCGCCCATTTTGTCTCTTTATACTTAATCTTGGTGATAAAAAAAAAGAAAGGCTAGACAAAGATTCAGCCGAATAAAATCTTCTCCACCGCAATCTTTTGCATCGGGTGTCACTTCAGACTATTTCTTTTTCAAATCACAGGGCAATCTTTACTAGTCTCGTCTGTTGCTGCTGTCATAGACCGCTAAGGCAAAGGGTGCTACTGTTCTAGTCTTCCAGTGGCGCCATCTATGGCCAAGGATTCGACTTCTGCTGAAGAATTGCTTCAAGAACTTTGTGATCCGACAGATTTAACGTGAACCAGTCACCATTTACTACACGGGGTGTCTTTGGCCGGTTGGAATCGAACCCCGTTCTCACGAACGTGAGTCCAGTGCCCAACCAACCAGGCTATCCCGGTCACTAGTATCGTCTCTCTTACTTATATTGTAGCAAGAAATAATTCCGCATTCCTGATGCGATTCTGGGTATAAAAAAAAACCCTGTTTAGTTTTAAAGAACCATCACACTGCAACAATTTAAATAAATTTTAAAGTACCGTTCGAAAACTAAAAAAAAAAAAAAACATACAATAATATACAAACTTTTTATTGAAAATAATGAGCTGGGTTATAGTGGACATCGTGAATAACTTTTCTATTTATTGGCCAATTTTCCTCTGTGAGATATCGTAGGTTGGAAACAAATGTATACACTTCCAAGTGCATTTACATCATCACATTCTATGAATATTTCGGTAGAAGTTTGTAAAAGAAGGTTTAAAAGCTACAAAAGTGACTTTTCTTTTATTAAAATATTTCATTTTCAGAATTTCTACAAAAAGTTATAATGTGTTATAAATTATGCGGTTTTTTACCTCTTGTTATTAACTTTTTCTCTGTATAGTTTCAATTAGTTAGGATTAGGTATTAACAAACATAAGTCTAAGTGGGGCTAGTGTCTACACTTTGTTCTTTAGCAACTTTGTTACTGGACATGTTCTGTGACTTGTTTACATTGCTCCTGTGTTGTTCATTTGGACAATTTCGTCATCAATTTCGTAATATTAAGATTATTAAAAATATTGCAACTTAAAACTGATTTTGTGCTTTCAAATTCAATTGAATGTTGTTTTTTAAATGTAATGTTTTACTTTCAAAGCGTTTTTTTTTAGTGTAGTGAAATGCTCTATTACAAAATAATATTTTAACTCAAATATGTCAATATCCATTCTAAAGTAAATCTTAGACTGAAATTCATTTCATTTGGGAGTTACAATAAATGACTATTTAGTAATTTTTCAAAATTGGCCTCACTAGCCCCATAGCTTGTTGTTTTCGCTCATTCTAGCCCCTTGTAGTGAGGCTATTGAGGGCGAAAACTAGCATTTTAAAAACAATTATTATGAAAAAATTAAAAAACTTTGTAATTCCAAATACAAATCAGAATGCAGATAATTTTCCAAACGATTCTTAAAAATTACTGGATAAGTGAAACATATTAAATAATTTTTTTTTGAAAGAAATTTAACAAATTTGAAAAAATTGTCTAAACTAACTCCTTCTCACCTTTAAAGATTTTAATGTACTTTTCGAAAACTACAAATATATAATGAATGCAAAATTATTTAATTAAATGGATAGAGAGTACAATTCGAAGCAGCAAAAACATATAATTCGTTTATAACATTGAAGTTATAACTATTTGTTAGTTTATAGCATTGGTGTGGTATAGTTGCTTAAAGCAATTTAGTTTCAATCAAATTGATGCACCGTGGCATTTATTTTTTGATCAATTAGATGTGAAAGGGAATGAATAACAAATATCAGCTAAGGAGCCGCTTTGGCTCAGGGGATAGAGCGTTCGCCTTCCAATGAGGCGAATGCTCCTCATCAAAATGTCCTCCACGAAGGCAAATTTCTCCCAATACTCAATCCAGGAGTTCCCTTGTCTTCTGGATTGTGTTCAAAATTACACAGCTGTGGAGTTGAACATTAGTAGTCGTAACAATTAACATGTGGAGTTGAACATTAGTAACATCAATTCTTCGCTATATTGACCTGCAGGAAAATTGTGACTCAAATTATTAAACAAACCCTCGAGGACATTCTAGCCCCAGATCAACTGACCCCAGTCATGAACCAACAATAGAGCATGTCATCGNAGGGTGTATTTCGGTGGCAAGAAAGACGGAATGGGAGAAGAAACTTCAATTCAACAATACGAAATCATCACATTGCAACCTTTCATCTCGAGGAACGTCTATCCATTCCAAGTAAGACAATCCCTTGTAGAAATCATAAGATAAACCTTCGCCCATTTTGTCTCTTTATACTTAATTTTGGTGATAAAAAAAAGAAAGACTAGACAAAGATTCAGCCGAATAAAATCTTCTCACTGCAACCTTTTACATCGTGTGTCACTTCAGACTATTTCTTTTCAAATCACATGGTAATCTTTACTAGTATCGTCTGTTGTTGTCATTGACCACTAAGGCAAAGGATGCTGCTGTTCCAGTTTTCCAGTGGCGTCATTTACGGCCAAGAATTCCACTTCCGCTGAAGAATTGCTTCAAGAACTTTATGACCCAATAGATTTAAAGTGTTCCAGTGACCATTTACTACACGAGGAGTCTTTGGTCGATTGTATTCGAACTCCCGTTTTCACGTTCGTGAGAACAGGGGTGCCCTGCCAACCAGGCTCTCCCGGTCACTAGTATCGTCTCTTTTACTTATACTGTGGCAAAGAAATAATTTCGCATTCCTGATGCAATTCAGCCGTAAGCAATTCTATAGACGATGCTTTAGCCTGACGTCATTTGATTTATTCTCTGTTATTTTGTCACTCTTTTTTCTGTTTATCCCTTATTTTGTCTACTATTGTTTATGTGATCTGCCCTTATAAATAAAAAAAAATGATTAAAAATAAATAACACAGAATAGTTAGGAAGGGGTAATAATTTTTCGAAACAAATTAAACTATTTGTTATAGGTATTATTAATAACTTTCATATATAATCTTTAAAAAGTTCTTTCCTCATCCCATAGCTTCCAAAAGGTTATGGTTGCAAGAGAGGAAACTTGGAAGATACTCCGGAATTGCCAGACTTTGGAGACACTAACCTGCAATTCGGCGCTGAGGTTATCTACAGGAAAGTAAACTACCAAAACGAAGATATGGAATACTGGAGCTATTACAGTACTCTTACAGTAAGAATTTTAAATAATAATTTATTAAAATCAGCTAATATTTCTAAACAATCCTTATGCATTTTTGCAATTCATTTTGACAACTAGCAATGTCATTTAAAAAGGTTTCCAGCCAAAAAGAATCCGATGAACAATAAGGAATTCATATATGTAATTTTTAAATTAATTACGAAAGTTGCTCACTAAGATTAATGAAATAAATCCTTTAAAAAATAGCAAAGTAACATTTAGAAAGTAAAGTTAGTAGCACGCTTTTGACCATTCTCTCGTTTAAACTATAGGGACTATATTTTATAAATTGAAGCTAACCCCGTAATTTGAGGATTAAAAAACGCTAATTCATTGAATAACAGACATGTTTAATCAGAGAAAATGTGCTTTTGTATTTGATTTCGTAACTTTATATTTCATCTAGACAAATATTTTATGATATTTAAAGTTAGCTCCTTGATTCATTAAAATTGCATCTTAGTATATGCCAAAATCCAATCATTAGACCAAAAGTTATCAAAGTGTGTTCTATTACATAGTTTTATTTACATGTTTCATTATATATCAAGCTTTACGAAGATGTTTACTCTTGCAGATGGCTTTTGACATTGAATCTCAGCACATAGCATACTATTACACTCCCTGGAATACCACCAAACCTCAGCCCGGCGAAGAACCATCAGTGTTATCTCCGGAATACGTCATCTATGACATGAAGCACAGTAAGTAATAAAGTTATGTCTTATGTAATTGCTTACAAATAATCAGTTACTTGTCATTGCGTTTAATAGCACATGCAAGTTGTAATAACCAACATAATTTACGCCTACAAAATTTGTTGCTTTTACTTGCATTTTCTTTTTTCGTTTTTTTTTTAAATCCTGTAAAAATTTTTAACTCTGCAAACTTTTCCAATTAAATTGAACAATAAGTTTTTTTGATTCCGAAGTCTTGGTGCCTCTACAAATATGAATTAGGGTAAGGAACACTACCCAGTGAAGGAACATTTCATATATATTGATTAAAAATAAGAATTTGAAAGTTTTTCTTTAGATTGATTGGTAACAATAGCTTACTGCCAAACAATAGAAAGTCATCTAGCAATGTTTTGGATTACCTGGTTACATAGACTTCTCTGGAAAAATTTTTGAATTTTTTATTATCTCTGCAACACCTTGTTTCTTTGAAAAAATTATAAGGGGAGTGTTTGTATTTGTATGTTTGAAGTGGAATTAATTGCATGTAATAGTTTTATTTTTCTCACTGTGAAAAAGAGACTTCAAACTATAGTAATTGAAGTTACGTATTATTTTTTTAAGCATCATAGCATAATAAAGTACTGAGATAAGGGGGTGTTTATTCACTGGATCACCAAACGATGAAAAACCAGTGAAGGAACAAGTGTTCCTTTACTGGTTTTTTTTTCTAAGTTAATGAATATAAACGATAAACTTTAATTTTCTTGTACCTTTAGTGATGTTCCGCATTAAAAGTATGTTAAAAATACGAAAAACAACTTCTAACCAGTGAGGGAACAGGCATGTTCCTTTACAGTGTCAACATATTGTTGACGCAGTGTCACAATGGCACTGACAATGACGGTGTCAACATATTGTTGACACTGTCATTTAACTAAAATTACGAATTCTGAAATTAATATGATGTTTTAAAAGGCAAGCGAAGCTTAAGTGCTCCTTCACTGGTTAGTTTACCCTATATACGTTCGATTAATTTATAGTAATATTTCTGTCTGGTCCTTACGGCCTGGGTCAACTTTGAAAATAAAACAGCTGTTGGGGGACGATTCACATAAATATAATAAACAAGAAAAATATTAAAACCTTATTAAAGCAAAACAGAAATCTCATCATATTCCAAGATGTCCGATTTTGCTCTGTTCTTAAATTTATTCTTGCTTTTTCCACTCACAGGCACGCTTCCTCAATCTACTATCCTTCCTTTCCTTTTTTCTGCTATCAATGACAGCTAATGTTGTCCGCTCCTTAAGTTTAGCAAATTGGCAACTAAATCATCAAATTCCTTACAATTCATATGCCAAAAGAAAAGGTTTTGATCATAGACTGTAACATTTCTGTTACAGAATAAAATATACCACTATGGCAAAAAGCAATGTTTCTGAGTTATCTCCCTCGCAGATTTTCTTTACAAAAGAAAATGTTTCAGTCACAGACGATGTTTCCGGGATAGAATACATTTTAAAACAAGACACTGTATAACAGAGATGTTTTCCTTTACAAAAAGTAACGTTTCTGTAACCAAACGCGATATTCCTGTACCGAAAAAGACCATATTTTTTTTTATATGGAATACATTGTCTCTTCGACAGTTTTCTGTCACAAAAAGGTGACATTTATGTTGGGAAAAATGACATATCCTGTCAAAAGGAAATATTTCTGACTTGGAAGGCAAGATAGTTTTTGTAGCAGAAATTAGCGTGTGTAAAGGAAGTAAAGTTTTGTGTTTAAAAGTTAGTAATGAAGTTTCTTCATGTCTAATCCATCTCGTTTCTTTACTTTTCCACCTTTTAGAGTATGCTTACAAAACTGATTTGGTGACAGGTGCCTGTTCCATCTCAAGATCAAAATCCTTCTATCCTACTTACAAGCTTCCGAACAAAGGGGGTGAGTTGATACTGACAGATGGATCCATTCTCTTTCCCTTATCAGGAATGTCCTACTTATCCGAGGTATTTGCAGTTTGTTGTAGTAACTGTTACTAGAACTGTCATGTCATTGCTTTCAATAACACTGTTCCACAAACATGGATTACAATGCTAAACTTTTTCAGAATAAGAATACTTTGTGGTCGTAAAAATCTATTGGGTTGGCAACTGAGTTCCGCCCATTTCTTTTTTTCTTTTTTATTCTTAACATTCCGCATATCATTAAATATTTTAGATCGATCATTCAAGAGAGAATGTTTTATTCTACCAGAATGCTTGCTTTTTGGCTCCAGTCAATTTATGCTAATTCAGAGCAACTTTTAATGGTCTTAGAACCTTGATAAAAACCACATTGGAGCAATTTAGTTTCTATCAAGGATCTGAGACAGATAAAAACTGCTCGGGACATTTGTGCTGTGTATGAAAAGTGTGCCTAGCTGAAAGAATCATTCGTGATTGGTTTGCCTATTTAAAAATGGAAATTTTGACCTCAAATACGCATCTCTTTTTTGTCCATCCAGTTGAGTTCAAGGAAGAGCGACTAACCAAACTTTAGCGCGTCAAACGGCAATAGAACTATCAGAAAAATTGAAAGCTCCCACACTAAAAACTTTTTAAAAAAACTAAAAATATCTGTTACGTAACTGCTAACCCAATTTGCGTGTTTGATAAGATAATAATTATGACATTCTCTAGTTTAGACACGCGCGGTGTTCTACAATGACCACACTTAATATGTATTTTTCACATCTTGTGTCGGAAATAACAGAACGCACACTAGAGGTCACAAATTAAATTTTAAGCTAGGAAAAAATATTATCGGAGTCTAAAGAATTATTATTGAAGAAGACAAAAATCTGAACATCGAAACTCATTTGGTTGTCAGAAGAAACTTAGAGGAAATTCTAAAAATCATTTTTTAACACCTCTCAGTTTCCATAGGCAATCATATAGACTTTTATGTTTTTAGTTCCGCATTTTGCACTAGCGATTCGGTTGATTTTCATGGCATTTTGTATTTTTCTTTTTAACTTCATTTTTGACAAGGATTTTAAATGAATACATTAAAGAAGATAATAAAATACTCTGTATTTTTATGTTATGAATAATTTGATATTTCTTTTTCATTCTGTAGGGAATAAATAGAGGCCTAAAGGTGAACGTTTTCGAAGAAATAATTGAAAATTACATCTTGAACAATGCTACAGAAATCACTGTTCCTCAAGCAATCATCACACATTCTTATTTAAAAGTAAATATAAATTATTTTTTTAAAGGCTGATTATTCTTTTAAAGAGATTTTGAATTAATTAATAACGTAAAGTCCCCAGGAAAGGCACCCAACAATAATGTTAAAAAGAAATTAAATTATTTAAACTTTTTTAATTTTCTCTGTATGAGTTTTTTAGTTTTATGCACGATTTCGTAGTGTTTATTAATACCAATTCATTGATTTACTTAATGACATAATTTCTTAATTTGCATTAAAAATATGAATACGTTAACGACATGAGTCCCTTCCACAGTGCATGGAAATGTATTTTGCACTGATTTGCTCCTATCGGCCACTGCGGTCTTTTTAATTTTTTATCCTTTTAATCATTTTAGTTTTTTTCTTTTTTTATTTCACTTTCGGCTACCCCGGTTTATCTAGTTTTGTTTTTCATATTTATTTTTGTTGCCAGCTTTATGTTTTCTATTTCAAATCACTGTTGTTTTCCTCATTCTGGTCTAATCACACTTAAAAATCTATATATCCCATCTTAACATGCAATGCTTCATGCTTGGAATTATTTATTTAGCAATTTATTTATTATTTACTTTTTGTTTTAACTTTTGCAGACATTTTTATACAATTGTGTATTTTTTGTGTATGTGTATGAAATAAATATATTTTGTATTTTCAAATTTCAGGATGATGAAATGATAAGAAGTTCTGAGTCCGTTAAAAATGCTTTAGTTCAAATCCAAGTCATCCTGAATGGCAGAGAAGATAAGGTACAGTAAGGATATTTAAAAAGATATTACCCTAAATAACTATTGTTCTAATAATCAGAGTTTCAAAAACTAAAAGGGTGAACTAAAAGGATGACCTCAAATATGGTAATTAAATAGTGCTAATAAAATTACGAATCAAACACAAAAACGTACTTTATCTGAATGAACCAATTTTTTTCTGACGGATTTGAATTTTTTGCCATCAAAATATGGGGAGCATCCAGAATTTGAAATATCCAAATAATTTAGTCAGATGTTCGGTCGAAAGCTTTGAACCCTTAATTTTGATTTCACATTTTTAGTATTTTGTCTTATCTCGAGAACTAATGAAGCGGATAGGAAAAAAATTTGCGCACTTTAGGAAAATTTGTTTGTTTAAAAATAATTTCCTCGTTAGAAAATAGTTTTTAAGAATCATTTAATATATTCTAAAATTTTATTTCATAACGGTTGAAAGGATTTTGAATTGTAATGTATACAAATTTTTACAACATTTTAAATTATTTAATTTTAAATTATTTAATTTTAAATAATTTAATTCTAAATTATTTAATTTTAAACTATTTAAATTTTAAGATATTTAATTTTAAATTATTTAATTTTAAATTATTTAATTTTAAATTATTTAATTTTAAATTATTTAATTTTAAATTATTTAATTCTAAATTATTTAATTTTAATCTATTTAAATTTTAAGATATTTAATTTCAAATTATTTAATTTCAAATTATTTAATTTTAAATTATTTAATTTCAAATTATTTAATTTTAAATTACAAGCACAAAATTTAAATGAACTCTGTCGAACAGTACATTTGAAATTTAATTTCTCAAAATCTATTCGACCGATTTTGTTCAAGTTTTGTGTTTCGAATTTCGTAAATGTTCGTATGCTTTCCAAAGTTTCTTGGATCAATGTCAAGAAAAAAAAATAGTAAATATAATTTTTGGGTTTACGACTACTAATGTTTAATTCCATAGTCTCGTAATTTTGAACACAACCCAGAAGACAAAAGAACTCCTGGATCAAGTATTGGGAGAAATTTGTCTTCGTGGAGGAATTTTTTCATGGAACTAACCCGCATTCGCGTTACATGGAGAGAAGAACCACGAGAACCTCACACGGTTAGCGTGACGCCAAAGGGACTATAACCCATGATCCGTTTACCACTGAGAATATTTCACGTCAGCACTGTGGTCGGTGCGAGCCTGGTCCGGAATTCGAATCGACCAGCCATCTCTGGGATTCGAACCCGGTTCTCCTCATTGGAGGGCGAACGCTCTCTCCCCTGAGCCACCACTGCTCTAAGAAGCATATTAACTTTATTTTTGATTGTGTTCCGTGTTCTCAATGGTAAGGGGTAGTATTTGCAGTGGTTGTTTTAACTCTGGTCGAATATTCACTTGTTTCGATTTCTAATTTTTTTTCTGTTTACATCATCTTTCGACTTATTTTTTAATATAATTATTCTGTTTTTACGGCAAAAAATAGGCTTGCAAGTGTCGGCAGTTGTGTGCATTAATTACACGCAATAAGTTACAGATTATAAACGGTTGATAAATTAAGTAAAAAAATTAATATTGTTTAATTTATTGAAATTTTGTATTTTGTACATACAAAAGTGCTCTTCCCACTGCTCGCTTCATTCTCCAAAGCCAATGATTTCAACAATATTTATTTAATATATATACAGCGGCCTAGGCCANATTTATATTTAATTTTTAACGACAAATATTTTGTTACATCAAAATTAAAAAGTATTCAATTGAAAAATCTCAAAATGTTTTATTGTATTAGCGCAGATTTAGTTTTCGCTCTTGATTCGATTGGCATCTTATTTAATTCTAATCATTTTATTATCTAATCATGGCAGTTTCATCCTTATTCTTTTTAAATTCTTATTTAATTTTAAGTTCTCATTATAACTTATTAAATATTTTTTAAATATTAATATTTTTTAAATATTAATACTTATTAAATATTTTTTAAATATTAAATATTTATTAAAAGTGATATTGTGAATGTTTAATTCTAAATAATGTCTTACAATTTTGCATTCATTATTTTAATGCTGATAATAATTGATGATTTAATAATTTATGCGCATGTTGGCTGAACTTAGTTTTACCCAAAGCTTATTATAAAAATAAATATAACTTATTTATTGTTTAGCAATATGATTAACAAGTTTAAATAACCAATTTAAATATACTTATCATAAAACTATAAATAATGAGTTGATATTAAGAAATGACGCTTTCAGTTTTTAATATGCAATCGAAATCAAAATGAGGACATTGAAAGGGATATTGAAATAGATTTTGAATAACAAATGCGAATGAGGAATTCAGTTTGAGTGATAAATGAGAATTAGGATAAATTTAATGCTGAAAATAGGATTTAAATTTTAATTTATAATGTTAATTTTTATTTGTTAGAATGGAGTTTTTATAGAAAGACTATAAATTTAAAATACCATTTAGTTTATTAAAGTTATAAATGATATATAGTAGCGTGTTATAAATATTATTTTAGTGAATTAGGAAAAATGCCCATATAATGAATAGTGCAGTTGTTACTTTTGCCACTTGTCCATACAGACAAGCCTGCTTGAAATCAAGCGAAATTTTAAAGCAGAGGGTGCGTTTCTTATTTTTTCTGTGGTGCCATCTATGACCGAGAGTACAACTTCAGCCACACACGCGTTACAGCCCGAGGACCCAATCATACTCCATTTATTCGACCACAAATCTTAATTTTATCCTGTAAAAGAGAATGATCAAATTATGGGAACTTGGAGGACTTTGTGATCCCGATAGATTTAACGTGCACCAATCACATCATTTACTACACTGGGATTCTTCGGATGAGGGGATTCAAACTCACATTCTCACTAACACTAGTCTAATGTCATACTGACCAGGCTATCCCGAATAGTGTAATTTGAGTAAACATTACAAATATTGAAATGCTAGTGATATTGTGTTGGTTTCGGAATATTTTAATATTTTTCTGCTTTTCCAAACAGGAAATATAATAAATATAAATATTTTTTCTAGTATAAAAAATTAATATATATCGTGTATAAAATCTGTCTTTCACAAATTTTTTTTCTGCTTTTGCAGGTATCAGAGTTATTGGTATTCAACTTTTTCAACTTCGATACTGAAATAAAAAATAGAAGATTCATTTTCGATGTTCAACGATGCTTCAAAAATGATAATGACTATCTATGGGTTACTATTGGTTTTAATGCAGGTATAACACTATTTTTTTTTAAATTTTGATTTATGTCTTAGAGTCCTTTTCCCTCCCCACCTAACTCAATAATCGAAAAAGGGAAGACGTGAAGAGACAATTCTGATTTAAATTTTTTTAAATTTAATTTTCACAAACAAAAGGATGCTACATACAAAGGATGTTTTTTTAAAGTAAAGGCCGTTTTGTTGTGCTCACTAATAAGTGACGTGTGCGTCGCAACGAGAGCCTGTGTCGCGTCCCGGCATTCCTTGGAAACAACTGTACTCAGTGGTAGCTGTGTAGGTAAACTGTACGGTCAGTTCTGCGTCTTTAAAATGTTCAAGTTTAGCAAATAGCCAGTCACGTTCGAGATACGGTCAGTGATGCGTTTTTAGTCGGTAAAAATCTGTCTGCCGCGTACATTCACTGGCAGATTTGTGAAGCAAAATTCCCTGCCATGTTGACAGGAAATTTTCCTACACTATGACAATGACTCTCGCCGCAACTTAGATTTATTGGATTCATTTGATTGGGAAGTTTTTTACCACCCGTCCCTACAGTCCAGACCTTGAGCTGAGTGATTTTCTTCTTTTCCGATATTTCAAACTTCATTTCGGCGGAAATCACTACAATGATGAAGAATAAGTAAAAACGACCGTGACCCCTTGTTTAACTTAGCAGGCGGCAAGTTTGTATGAAGAGGGTATTCGAAATCTAGTTGTAAGACGTGATAAGTGTTTAAACAAACTTGGCAATTATGCTGAAAAAACGAGAATATGAAAATAAATTTACTTCTTGAAAATTTTCTTTCGTTTGGCTTTTATTTTCAAACTGCCGTTACTTAAAAAAAAAAAAAAAACTCTCGTATGACTATATTCGGCAGCATTTCTCTAAACATTTCGAATGCAGGGTCATCAGCTGATCACAATATTAGGTGTGTGAGCCGTGATGGCTCAGGGGATAGAGTGTTCGCCTTCCAATGAGGAGAACCGGGTTCGAATCCCACCAATGGCTCGTCGATACGAATCCGCATCCGGCTTGCACCGACCACAGTGCTGACGTGAAATATCCTCAGTGGTAAACGGATCATGGGTTATAGTCCCTTTGCCGTCACGCTAACCGTGTGAGGTTCTCGTGGTCTTCCTCTCCATGTAACGCAAATGCGGATTAGCTCCATTAAAAGTCCTCCACGAAGGCAAATTTCTCCCAATACTCGATCCAGGAGTTCCCTTGTCTTCTGGATTGGGTTCAAAATTACAAGGATACGGAGTTGAACATTGGTAGTCGTAAACCCATAAAATTGGGTCGGCTGTTCGACGATGTTTATAAAATAAAATATAAAATATAAGGTGTGCGGTATTTCACCCCTTAAACGCGCTTCTTCGATTCGATTTCTTTGAACCCGTTCGATTGCTAGTCGGCTGTGACCGGTTTTCTAATTCAAATGTAAAATTACGTCACTATCGAAGTTAAAGGGTTTTGCTTAAGAAACTTATCTCTTTCTGCGGGTCACCTTTTTTGACGGAGTTTCTCACTGTGAATCGGGGAAGAAATTTAACTGATTTTCAAATTAGCGTTTTCTCGCAAAGTTTCGAACTTATCTTCTATATTTGTGTCTGTAATCATCCGAAATATTACCTAAACTTTTTAAACATTACAAAGTGTTAACAAAATTTTTTGAAAAATTGTTTTTCTTTTATATATATATATAAATAGAATTGAATAGTTAGTTCGATTTAGAATAAATATTTTAAACTATTTTGGATATAAATACAATGACGATGAGGATTTCTTTTGAGATTCTTTTTAATAAATGTTTTAAACTTTTTTTTCACATATTTTAAATTTTTAAGCTGTGATAAAAGCTCTTAACATCCACCTCAGATAAAAATATGCAGTATCAAATCAACTACAATTACTTATACATCAAAAAACTCATACATCTATCCTAACCAGATGGCCAAACGTAAGTCTGTATCAGGAACTATAATAAGATAATATTATTCTAATTATCCTGTAGCAAATGATAACTAATCAAATATTGGCATTTTATTTTTATAAGTAATAAATTAAAAACAACAAAAGGACTCTTGAGATATCTAATTGATGATTTTATTAATGTTTTTTCCCCATATGGCCCATGAATTACATCTCATCAAAATGAAGCCAAATAAAAATAATCTCCCAATACTATTATTTCATTATAAATTTAAAAAATTATATTCTTTGAAAATTTGAAGATTATATTATAGAATATGTATTAGAAAAAAAAGCATGAAAAATTTAATCTAAAATACAGGATGGCAGGACAGTGAGGGAAGAGGCCTATTTAGACATCTTATTGATGATTTTATTAATGTTTTCTTTTCCATATCACCGATAAAATATAACTCGCTAAAAAAAAAAAAAAAAAAAAAAAAAAAAAAAAAAAAAAAAAAAAAAAAAANAAAAAAAAAAAAACGAATAAAAATAATTTTATTATTATTGAAAAACAAATATTTTTTGAAATAAACAAAAAAAAAACTTCGTTTAATGTAGCTTAAAATTGCATAGAAAATATTGAGATTCATGCGTAAAGCAGAATGATCGACTGTCGTAGTATTTAAATCATATTTTCCATTTTCAGACGAAGCAACATTGATGAAAATCAGGGATGATGTCCCGAGCATTCAATCGAACATTATGAATAGCCTTTACTCTACTTCTGAATTAAACCCTGTTAGAGTACCTACCATTCTCGTAAGTGACATTTCAATTTTAATTTTTGACCCAAAAATAAATTTTACTTATTTAAGTTGTAATGTTTTCTGATAGATTTAGAGTCGAACATATGTTTGGAGATGTACGAAGACAGAAAATAGAACCGATATATTTTTAAAAAATTAAAATTCGTAAGCATTATCACTTTTTGCTGAAAATTATTTTTATATACTAAATATTTTAAACTAACAGATCTCTTTACTATCGATTTGGATCACATTGCATTATACTTGCAATCAAAGAAGAAGGGAAAAAATTAATTAGGTAATTTTTGCGATTAAGATTTTAAAATTAAAAAAAAAACAATACTGCTTGATATTTTTTTCTATTTTTCACCCCAAACTATGTTCTACCCTCACTTATTTAGAATTAAACATACCTCACAAAATATAAACTTTAAAAATAAAAAAAATTTAAGTTTCAACTCAAAAATTGAAAAGTATTTGTAAAATTCATGCTTTTTTTTTTCAGACATGAAAGTTTTTAAAAACTTTACACAATTAAAAAAATAATAAAATAACGACAACTTTGTAATCAACCTTTATTGTACACAGTTTTTTTAAAATCTTTTTTATCAAAATAGCTTTGTAGTTATTGTAATAGCGTTGCATAATAAATATATTTTGTTCCCGACAACTTTCTCAGTGTTGAAACACAAATATGAAAACCAGTTGTTATTACTGTCTTTTTCTGAAAATGATTGGTCAAATTATTGATTCTCAAAACTTATGTTTACGTAACTTGTTTTTACTCTTATGTAACTTTTATGATTTTTAAACTATCAGTGATTTGTTTCTTAGCATAGTTTACATAGATAAAAGAGAGAATACTTTTAGATACACGTTCCCAACTTTTTAGTTATGCGGACCAAAAATTTCGTAGAAAAGAATGAGACCCACAGTTGTTGTTGTTGCATTCGGCCATTAAGACAGATGAGGTGTGATTGTTGTTATTTTTTCCAGTGGTGCCAAATATGGTCAAAAATTCAACTTCTGCCACACCCATACGTCACACCCGTTTATAAGGTGGATCCACATCCATTCCTCCACAGATCGTAATTTTGACAGAAACCAGAGAACGATTCATCTCCAATTCAGTACCCCCAGAGGTATAATTTTTAAGGGAACTTGGAGGACATTGGGACACTGCCGGTTTGAATCCTGTTCCCTGCCAACCAGGCTATCCTGCCGTCATGAGACCCACTAAACAAAAAATAGATATAACGTAATGTCGCCCCTCTTGTGGTTCACACTCCATGAGTTAAGATAAGAACCGATGTCTTATTAATTAAATTATAGATTACATTGTGTAGAATTACACGAGGAATGTTTTCAAGACATTTATTTTAACTTCAGGTGGATATTAAAGAAGGATTATTTGTGACATTATTGATACTAGGGAAGCCTCCAGTTCTTTGTAAGTTTTTTTTCATGTTTCATCTAATATATCTTATAATCTTAATCTTATATATA